GCCCTAAGTGCCCTTGGCTTTTGGTGGTTGTGGTGAAGCCTTAAAGCTTCCAGCAGAGCAGATGGGCAAAGCCTGGAGCTGTGGGGATCCCTGGGAAGAAGGTCCTTGGAGATGGCCACAAGCCCCGTCCCAGCCAGGAAGTGCCATCTGGGCTCTGCCCATGTGTTGCCCAGCTGCTCTGGCGCTCGCTCGGGGGATCTGCCGTGGCTGGGGCAGAAGCCGTGGAGGTTTCCTCAAGAGGGTGGGGACACTTTGAAGGGAGCCAGGCTGGCCTGGACACAGAGGGGAAGGGGAGCAGCAGCAGCCACAACGCCTGGGCCACCTCAGGGAGAAGCACCCCAGGGGCGCAGCTCTTTGGGGCAGGAGACGGGCACCAGGCCTGCCAGGGTCCGATGTAATAGCAGGTCTCCCTTGGCAAGGACTTGCCAGAGCTGCTGATTTTGGTGGTGCCCTCCCCGCTGGCTCAACTGTGCCTCAGGTTTGTCCCTTCAGCTCCACAAGTCATTCTCCGGGTGAAAACACGGGTGAGGGGTGTCAGTGGCTGCTGGGTGACCAAGTATGTCAGGGCTTTCTGACCAAATTTGCTGCTATAGAGCCGACCACTCCACCACACACACTGCGGTGGCAAGGGCTGCTGTCAGTTCCACCAGCAAACACAGAGTACAGGCAGCGAACAAAACAAAAGGTTTCAAGTGTGAAGGTTGAAGGAAGTCAAAGTCTATTACAAATACCACTGGGGCAAGAAGCTACCAGGTATTTAAGGTTTTCTAACTGCATCTGTGATAAACAAGGAGAGTTTTCCAGTGACTTGGAGTAGGAAGACCTCGTTCTGAGCCCAAAGCTGTGGGTTTTAAGTCAGCCCTCCCACTACGTGACTGCTGCTCAAGAAGGCTTTTACTTGGAAAAGCATCAGTTGCCAGTGCATAGGATACAATACAAGAAGAAGGAAATGGTCCTGTGCTGTGCTGTTAAATTTGGGGCAGTCTAGACAGGCTTGTATTTCTGGAGGTCAGAAATTATTAATAATGAATAATTTTGGTGCCTGTAAGAGGTAAATTTACTCATTTAGTAGAATCTAAGTTCTCTGCTAGGTGCCTAGAGACAGCATGAAATGTAGAGGTAGAGGGGCAGCACTGCCTTCTTGCTCATATAAAAGGTACTGAAAAATAGAGAAAGAAATTTGAACCTAAGGTTCAACATGTCCATGTAGTGCCATCTGTTTATTTTTTCTTTCCCCCTCTCTGCGGTTTCCTGTGCTTCAGGCAGACTTGTTCTTAGTGGCCCCCTAACTGCTGTCCCGCAGCCCCTCAGCTCTGACTGTGCTCGCTCTCTGCCAGATCCAGGCCGGGACAGGACACAAGAGCAGGACCGTGCCCGTGGCCGCTTCCGCAGGGCAACACAGGTAGCTGCAGCCATCCCCCCCGGGCTGGGCCTGCTGTCCCCGCTCAGCCTGGCACCGCTGTCACAGCTCTCCATGGCCCATCCCTCTCTTCCCTGCCCTTTGTTCTCCTGCAGGCCTTTCTGAAATTCTTCGGGATTCGGCGTAGACAGACCAGGATCACACCAACTGCGGTCCTGGCACAGCCTGATTCCACGCTCAAGGAGCTCGAGGCAAAGGCCGATGTCGGCACCGTGTCCATCGATGGCCCAGCAAACTGCGATGGCGCGGTGACCGATGACAGGACAAACTCCTACACCGCACGGCCCGAGCTCCCCACAGAGTCTGATGCCACAACGACTGAGGGCATCGTAGGGGCTGAGAGCACAGCCGTTCAGTGCCTGCCCGATGCTGCCAGTCTGGACATTTCCTGGGGAGAGAGTTGTCTCTGCTCAAGTAAGCAGCCTGTGGGCAGGGATTGTGTGGGCCCTCAAGCCAGGTCTGCTGGGCCCCCTCAGCCTTTGAGGCCAGCAGAGTGTGGTG